CCTGCTGATTTAGACCTTTTCTCTAGTGCCTCCGGCAACTCCTCATACACATTGGAGCTATTGGAAGATTTCCAGGATGATGATTTAGGCCAATTTGCATACGGCCATCAAGTGCCAACACCCCAGGTAGCAATAACTATCACTAGGCTAGTGCTGGGTTTCCTGTTACCCTTTATCCTCATGGTGGCCTGTTACAGCCTCATTATCTTCCGAATGCACTGGAGCCGCTTCACCAAGTCTCGGAGCAAAACCTTGAGAGTGGCTATGGTGGTGGTGGCTGTCTTCCTCGTCTGCTGGGCTCCGTACCACATTGTTGGAACCCTCTTACTGTTTATTGACCCAGAAACTCCCTTTGGGGAAGCTCTGTTGTCCTGGGACCATGTGTCTCTTGCTTTAGCATCTGCCAATAGTTGCTTCAATCCCTTCCTCTATGCCCTTCTGGGGAAAGATTTTAGGAAAAAAGCAAGACAGTCCATGCAGGGAATTCTGGAGGCAGCTTTCAGTGAGGACTTGATGCACTCTACCAGCTGCCCCCCAAACAAAGTCTCTTTGGAAAAACACAGTATCAGTACAGTTGTGTGAAAATATGGAGCAGTTGACCCAAGCAGAGGTTCTTAGGCATTCACCCAGCGCATCATATTTCTAAAAAGACGACAGAGATAGGGAGCAGGGGATTTCAGAAACTGTCAGAGAATCAATCCAGAGGGTCTTAAATTGTGGTCCCAGACTAGTGGCATCGGTATCACCTGGAAAGTTGTTAGAAATACAAACTCTCCAGCCCCACCAGAGACTTGCTGAATCAGTCTCTGGGGGTGGGGCTCAGACAGTGTTTTCACAAGCTCCCTTGTTTCGGATGAATGCTAAAATTGGGAAGCATTGTAAAAATTAGTCTATTTCTATCTTAAACAAAGCCACGTGAAATAAATGCGAAGGCAGTCTCCTTTAAAATATTTCCATCATTAAATTTCTTTCTAATTTCCTTCCAGATTCAAGTTAAAACCATTTCTTCTAGTCCTACCTGAGTGAAAGGTGATCGTTTATTCTATGGCTTTGTAGTGGTGATGGTGGTGGTGATAGTTTTAAATGAAAAAAAAAAAAAAAGGTGCAAAAAGAAAGTCTATAAAAACAAGGAGTTATGTGTCTGAGTCTGGAGCAGAGTACAATGCCAGATGCCTGCAACTTGGAATACTCCTGGATACAGGACTTAGGAATTCTGAGTTTCCATTATTACAGCTAAATAAGCATCTATTGTGTAAAGACAGACTACTTAGGCATCTAAAGACTTTCTCATGAAATAGTATGTAAGCCACAGTTCGGGGAGTTCTCTTCCCTCTGTTTACTCGATCTGCCTATTGATAGAATCATCTATCTTTCATTCCTTTTCTTAAGCTCCTTAATTCCCTTATTCCTCCCCTGCCTCTAAATCTTCTTCCAGACTTTATGCCTCTAATAACCAAGAGTTTCATAAGATGCAAATTACTCCCCTCCTCTAGCTCCACATTGGTACTTTCCAAGAAACTCATTTCAAATGAAAGGAGAAAGACGGTAGAGGATAGGGCAGCTATTCTTGAATTCACTGCAATATAACTGAGTACCCTCTGGGCACGTTATCCAACTTTAAAAGAAAACATGACTGTAGGTGTATATCTTTCATGCCAAAATTACCAGATATATCTTCGGTTTTTTTTTTAAATTAATCTTTATCTTTACCAAAGTAATACATGCATATAACTTAAAGAGAACCTAAGGCTTATAATGAAATCTAACAGGTTTCCTGCGCCACTCTGCCCAGCCCCTCCTTCCTCCCACTCCCACTTCCCAGGGATAACCTTTGAAACGATTTTAGATGTTTCCTCTGATGTTCACCATGATATTTCTAAGTCATGACCTTATGCTGCTAGTTTTTGTAGACGTGATAAAATGACTTCTTGTTTTGAAAGATGACGATTTTTATCCCAACACATTCATATTTTTTGTTTATTCAGCATCCCAATATTCATTACCCAGCATCCTTTAATTTGTTCACGATCACACATTTTCTTCTACTTTGTCGACCCATTCCAACCCCCCTTCTCCTTTTTTTTCATTATTTTCAGAAAACATTATTAAACCCCCATCACCTTCTCATTTTTCTCTGTATGTAAAGTTTTATGTGTTAAACCTCTAAATTTTCAGGTTTTGTTTGTACTACAACATAGCCTCATCTGCGTACAGTGATTTAATCTGAAAAATAGAAAATGAGATGTCTTAGACTTTACAAGGCACTATCATTTGTTCAGTGGTTGAGGGGAGGGTCTGGACTACAAATAAGTTATAAAGTACTATGTGGAAAAATGTCAAATCACTAGGAATGCTTTCAGTTGTGCAGTAATGATATCTGACATGGTGTGAGATTTGCCATGCTACCTTCCAATTTCATCTGATCATATATTTGATGTGAATAAATGCTTTCTTTCTGAATGGTTGCTTGCAAGGCTGAGAGATTCATGGATCCTTTTAATTGTTTGACCCTCAGAATATAGCATAATCTCTAAACATACGGCAAATATAAATCTCATAGTGGGTAGCTGTAGGCTTGCTATAATGATGATTAGCTGGGCTTCTGGAAATCCCAACATTTCTCAAGGGACCCTGGGTATAAGTCCCTAACTTCTAGGGTTACTGTATAGGATACCAGGGTGAATGATTCTGGCATAGTTATAAAGATTCAATAGTTCAATAGTTGACATTCCTGGACTCCTTTTGAGAGTTCTATTTACCCTGGAAATGTATTCTGAAGAAATCCCTACCATTGGAATTCCCTCATTTCCAATGAAAGACTCTTGGCGAGTACCTGTAAGTGTTCACTGCAAGTCCCAGAGGGGGACCCAAGTCTTCCTCAAATTGTAGTATCTTTAATCTTTAAAATATCCCAGAATGCAAGCAAGATGGCTTAGCCCACACATCAAGCTGCGAGGGGGGACTGCCTCTCCCAACAATATTTCTCTATATTTAATAGCATTTGAAAAAAAGAATGTTAAAGGCATGCTTTTAATTCTTTTTTCCCATCAATCTTACCAAGAATGTCAGGGTCAACTAATCAAACCCAGTGAGGGGTGGTGAGGAGGGGCAACAGAAGACAAATGCTATCACATTTCTCTTTTCCTACCCTGGCAAAAACAAATTTAAGAGCAGCGCCAGGAAGATAAAACCATAAACATTCTTTTTTTTTTTTTATTAAGAAAGCATGCAAACAACAACAACTTGTGAGACCATACACCCCCCGCCCCAGCCTGCACCAATGCAAAGCATTATGGGTGGTATGAAGGACTCACCCAACCAGAAACGTGGGGGTTGAAGGGAGAAAGGCAGGGACGGGCGGATCAATACCAACGAACTGCGCCTTCCATCCCTCTCCTCCACCTTCTCCCTTACGTCCTCTTTTAGGCAGTGAGCTCCTGCAGTTTTGCACACATCACCCAAGACAACAACAATGACAAAACTTTCACGGCCAGCAACGCTGGACCAACAAGACAAAGGATTCTTTCCATTTCATGGAGGGTAGGGGAAACCGAGGCCCAAAGAGGGTCAGGTTTGTCCTGTGCCATTTAGCAAGGCTGGGTTTAGTGGAGAGGAGCTAAAATCCCAGAAGGCCTGACAGCCAATCTCCAGCCCTAGCCCCAGACTTCAGTTACTCTGGCTGCCTGCCAGAGTTCCTAATGACCCTCGTTTTCAGAAGACACAGATGAAATATAAACAAGAGACATTTACATGTCTGATTTAGTCTACCCTTGCAAATCCTGTAAGGATCTGGGTAGAAAAGGGGTTTAGAAAAGAGTGATGATTTTTCAAGGGGGAATCTTAGGGAGAACAGATGGGACGTTGTATGTAGGAGGCACCTTGACTGGAAGGGTAAGGAAGACACGCCTCAGATAAGGACAATGGGCAAAGGCGTGTCACCACCCTCAAGAGAAATTCTCCCTTCCCCAAGGGGAAATCTTACGGCACACTTCAACCCCACTAACTGCCCTCCGACACCATGGGGGATTCACACCACTCACACCCCTACTTCTTACAAAGAACTTCAAAGAAATAAAGTGCTGTTTAGTTAACTGCCCTTTCTTGCCCCCTGACTTCAGCCTCACTGGACGTCTTCAACAAACTCTCACACAGCATCCCTTACAAAGAGAGGAAGGGGCGGATGAGGGGGACAAGCAGGAGAGCGGAAAGCATGGGTAAATAAAAGGATATGAACACAAAGCAGAAATCACAGAGAGAGTGGCCTTGTCCATTCGGTACATTTTGTCCTGCAGCTTTGAGAAAGTGAACATTCAGCAAAATAAAAACGGAAGTAAAATTGTTCTTCCCTCTCAGAACTAAAATTCAATGATTAATATCAAATATACACTAAGTACTTTGCAGCAATAAATCATGGCCACTCCTTGTTAAAGGAGGTTAAGTTATCCCTGTAACCTTTCTCTGGGCAGCGGGCGGCGGCGGGGGGGGGGGG